AAATTTAATAGACAGTAATGACAGAACATTCAGTATAATACATTAAATAACACATATCTTAGAGGGTGATAGAGCAGATTATTACCTCTCGAAAAGGCATTGTCAACCTTGGCTTCGCCTCAGTTGACAATGTTTTCTCGGGGTAACAATCTGCTCTATCACCCTCTAAGCTATGTGTTATTTATATAATGTTACTAAAGAACGTGATCTATAAAAGTATGATTTCACAATGAAAGTTGCGTAATGTTTAAGGCCTTGGATTAAGGAATAACAGTACTGTATAGTTAAAGTTGCCGCTGTCAATTGCGATGTGACGGTCGCAAATGCAGTTTTACTTGCTACGTGACCTGAGACCGGCCAATGAAAAAATATTACATAAAGATTACATTAAAATGGTGCATGTCTGCCAATTCTGTATTTTAGTCTGCCGTAAGTTGTTTCGAGTATAGTATCGACAGAGCATACTCGTTAATCTTGAGTATACTAGTATTGAAAATATCTTATTCAGTATTGACACATGACTGAAGAAATAGATATACAAATGTAGTAGCGGTCCCGTATTACTAGTGGACGGGTTACCAACAAAATAAACAGAACACAATTTAGCAATGCATGGTGTCTTAATTTTCATTTTTTGGTAATAGTCCAAACCCTTAATTAGAATAAATTGCACGTAAAAGTCGTCTGGTTGGAATTTTGTTTTGATGATAATTAAGCTGACAATTTGTTTTTGCCATGCAAATGTAATAACATGTTTTACTGGGGATAATCAATATTTTGTTAGCGTACTTTATAAAATCGATGATAATTGCATTTCTTTGTTCAATGGCATAAAACGTTCCTATCATTCTGCTTCGTGCAGTTAACTATTGTCGAACTCCCGCGGAATGTAATGATGTTTGATGGTAGCATCGTAATGTTATCGTTATAATTGATTTTGCTTTACTTTATAATGTAGAGAGAAAAATGCAATGGCAAATGGAAACTTCCAACATTGATTAGGTAATCGCTCAATGATCAGTTTCAGATGGGAGGTTCAAAATGAATGCTTGAAATTTCAACAAGCCTGGTTTTACTCTTGCAAATTTTGGATCTAAAAGTATCTTATTCTTCATTTGGTTTTCATAGACTATTTTCATATTACCGACTTTTGACTCCGGATTATACAATTTTTCGACAGGTTACCTTTTCTGTGGTTAGACATCCTGGTACTCGATCAAGTAAGAGCAACCAAAAGAAGAAAAATCAAACACATAATGCGAGCAATTTGAGGAGAAAGTTTTCTGTTTTCTGATGATTTTATCGTATAAAGAAAATATAAAGCAGTTAATTTTCCCCATAAATTGTATCGGTTAAAAGCTTTTTTTTTTTTTTACTTTGCTCTTACTTGACTGAGTACCAGGATGTCTTACCACAGAGTAGGTAACCTGTTAAAAAATATAACTCCGGAGTCAAAAGTCAGTAATATGAAAAAGGTCTATTGCAGTTAATTATATTCAAAGAATTGTGTGTCTAAGTTTACTTGTGATTCCAGCTTGGCTGTGTGGCGATTAATGGGAATAAACAAGTTTTTTTGTTGTTGAGTTCTTTCTAGTGAACATCGAGGGGGATACGTTTTTGCTATTTTCTAAATTTGTTGATATTCATGTTATTCGGGATCCACACAAGGGATATAGGCTAATATCATTAATCGAATATTTTTAAGGATTTGTGATTCGTTAAGACCTTATCACATGTACATTTGAATTTACTCATTTTACACGCCAACTGTTGTGTTTAGCTTTTCGTAAGTTAAAAAACAGCCAATTTATATTCTAGAAATCCCCAATTTTACATTGTTCATGCAATATTTGTTGATTAATAATATAACAATTGTGGCCTTTGGTTGAGGTCAATACAATGTTATATCGACCTAGAGAAGCATGTCGGCCTCGGACTTCGTCCTCAGTCAGTATGCTTCTCTTAAGTCAATATAACCTCGTATGTCACTGAATAGAAGTTTCTTCATAATATAAGTTCCAAGTGGAAGAAATATTCTGTAATATTGTTTCCATTGGAACAAATATTATAGTATTTGTTCCTTACGGAATAAAGGGTATAGAATATTTGTTCCAACAGGAACAGATATTATGACATTGTTTATAACAAAGTTTCCAGGGTAACTTCTGTTAGGCGGAACAAATACACGTTGACATATCGACCTCATACAAAGGCTATAATTGTATATTATTCCCTGTAAGTGTTTTATATCTCCTGGACCGCTTTTTCTCGAAAATCTTGTAAATAAATCGCATACGAAAATATGTTATTTAATGTAACGCAATGACAGGAGTTACAGTAACTGTAGATTTTAATGATGCATACTGTTGGATAAACTTGACGGCTAAACTTTCGTTTATACGAACTGCATGCGTATATGTCGTTCATGCTGTCTATCATATATGTTTTTCGTTTATTTGTGTAAATCAGGTCGTTGGTTTTCTCGTTTTGATAGTTTTACATTTTGTCATGTCGGGACCTTTTATAGCTTACTATACGATATGGGTTTTGCTTTTTTTTGAAGACTGTATACGGTGTTCTATATAGTGTTTATATCTACGTCATTTGGTCTTTGGTGGATAACTGTCTCTTTGGCAATCAAACCAAATCTTCTGCTCTATATGTATATGCATTGATGATTCCATATTGTTTTTGGGGAGTACTAAGTTGTAATAGTTTAGGTTTCCAAAGTAAAAGCACAGAGATTATAAATGCAAAAACATAATAGTAAATAGGAAAAAAAACCACTTTCAATCAATGCGTTTTGATTAATTATTCGTAAAAGAAATGATCATGCTTTTTTATCATTATCAGAGCATAATTATATTATATCAGTGTTGACAGAATGAGAACTAACAGAAGAATCGAAGCTAATTTAAATGGTTTGCCAAAACTTTTTATTGCATTTTTTGATACATGTCAAAGCTTCTATGTAGTATATTCAACCAGAACAAAACAATAATCATAAATGTGCATAAGAGCATTAATTTAGGAAAATAATTAATCAACACTCGACTCTGGAAAAAAGAGACACAGATATAACCGGAAGTCGACGGGTCTCTATTTTTTCGTTCCTAACGCTCATACAAAAAGATAATATGTTTTTCAACATGGTGCATTTGTTGTATACAAAAGCGTTTTTCGACATGGTGTATTTGTTGTATACAAAAGCTCATTTCCCCTCCGTCTAGTACGGATCGCATATCTATTATTGTCTTCCGATTGTGATTTATTATATTTAGGGTATTTTTAAACTGAGTGTATTTCTTATCAATATTGATTGACGTTGCTGAATGAAAATGCCGTTACAACTACAGGCCAATCGATATGCTGTCAAATTCTTCTAAATCTGTCTTTTAACCATATCAAATTAGGACGTTGTTGCTAAGCAACGTCTTATATCTTCTGCTACCATACATGTGTCCATATGACGACTAATTTGTGAAAGTAAAAATGCTTTTCTTGGAATTTTTTAACGCATCACCCTTTTTTAATTAACACTCAAGCAAGCTTTATACATGTTAAATATGTCTCACAATATTCTATGCAATTAAGGAACCTTAGTCCATGCTGGTGGCTGAGTTGAACTTTGTTAGAGGTTTCACTACACAAACTATTTCGATCATATATGAGGAAATGCATGCATATAATTACATTACATGTATGTTTCATTATCATACGTTATTTTGATTGGCTAACAGCAATCTCGCGTCATTCTGAAATTAATTAACCTTCATTTTAAAATGAAATGTAACATTCTTGATGACACGAGCTTCCACAATAAAGTGCACAGGTAAACAAAAGAAAAACTTGATAGAAATCGTGTTTAAATGATCCTAGTAAAAAAATGTAATTATAAGTATTGAATGCTTCCTTTAGTAATTTTGTAGGGATGTAAAAGCGTTGACCGTGCGTACATTTTTAGAATGAAGCGTTTCCGCGCTTCATACAAAATGTACTTCGGTCAACGATTTTACTTCCCAATAAATTTACAAAAAGAAGCATTCCATTCTTAAGTAAATCTCAATTAGGACAAATATTTTGTTTAACTATAACTAATCACAAATAGAAGTTAATTGTTGAAAAAAATCTAACTCGTGTGAAACAAGAATTTCTGAATTGGATTTCCGATTTAAACAGAACCTTAAGCTAAACTGAAATAATTATATTTAACAAATTGATAATAAAACATAGGAAATGTAATGAGCTCCAGTATCGGCGATCATATTATGTGTCCAGTTTCTCAATTGATTTTGTGCTTAGTATAACGATCTGAAAATTCAAGCCTTTTCCTACTGTTTTTAACGTTTTTGTCTTATGTTGTGCTCAAGGTTAGTTTATATTTTTACCACTATCCAAGTTTAAGGGAAGATTGAGAAATCACAACCCTGTTTTACCCCGTCACATTCTTTGTGTGCCTGCCAAACCTATGAGTATATTTATAAAATGTAAATATTTAGATTCACCATGCCATCTGTTGGTCATTTTATGAACCCCCCTTTAAAACCTTACTGTTTGAGATCCGCCTATTTACAAGTCAGAAGTTTGTAAGTTATATATCATGCGCAATTGCTATCAAGTATTAAGTACTTTTGTTAGTTCTTTGTTAATGATAACATTTTGTTCATTAGACTAAAGTGTGTGGTTAATGCATTGATTGTTATTCCAAAAATGTTCATTTATACTTTATAAAATTGAGAATGGAAATATATATTTATAGCAATTCGCATTAAAAATTTGTAACATATACATATTTCAACATTTGAACATTTTATAAAAGTCAAACATTAACCTGTCAGTATCGGCAGAACACATTGTTGATTGAACCATACTGGAAACGAATGCTGTTTTATCTACTCTAAATTGGATTTATTTATACCCAATGGCTACTCAGAACAATTCGTTTGGTTACTTACATGATCGCTCTGAAAAAAAATATATAAAGTATGAGATATATGTGCCATGAAAAATCCCATTTATTCTTCAATTTAATCCAGAACATTAATCTTACCATCTACGTACATTGTGGTAAAAATAGATATATAGTTTTAGCTTTATCCAACGAAAATACATTTTAATTCTTCTTTATGCTAAACTATCAGCCTAAGCTTTGTAGCTACTCGTTAGCGATAATAGATTGTTTATGTCTTTTCTGGTTTAAATTGCGTATATCTCGCAATAGAGAAATTTGGAGAACATCACATATATTACACACACATCTGTAGCAGTAATTTTGCAGCGACAAACTAGATAAACTCGGGACAGTGATACACATACTACAACTAGTCCTAATGATTGTCTACGCTGTAATAATCAATTTGCTATAACTATTCCACCGACGCACGTGTGCATGATATCTTAATTCGCCGGAATATTAGTTAACCTCATCAATTAATTAGTAATCTTATAAGATTATTTAGTGTGCAGATAATACTAAGTGAAAAAATAACACAAAACCTATGCCGGATTACACAATGATTTTTTCCGGATTAATGCGATGATTTTTCATCGAGATTGATTTTATAGCCAATAATTTAAGCTGGATAGTTTGAGGACAATGTATAGACAGTGAGATAGTTTTAGGATATAGGAAATGGAAAAGAAATCTAAAGCTGAATCACCAGATGGTGAACAGGTAAGGGGGAGGGGTTGAAGGGGGGAGAAGTTTTGGGAAAGCATGTCATTATTTATTTCTTTAGCATTATTAAGCTGTTTAATGAATCTTAACGTATAAAATAACTAAATCATTTGTTTGCTGACTAATAAACACAATCAAGTTGATAGCTAATAATTATTGTTTCACGTGCACTACTTCAACTTTGGTTACGTGTACCAAATTTCTATCATAAATAAGGTTTTTGTACTATGATGGATTATTTGCTTAAAGTCCAGTGGCAAATATTTCATGCATATTCACTACGATAATTGTATCATGCTTTAAGTATAATAGGTATGTTTGTTTTGTTCTATTCCAAAGGATGGAAATTTGGTTTGAATAAGATAAGATACTTTTATTCCCATGAAGAGCAAAGTAATTTATTACAATGATTTAGATAATTGACAATAATCAAATGTTGATAATCATATATAAATATGAATATATATAATCATCTCAATTTGAATATATAATGGTTCGTAGTCAATTCTGGAAAAGACTTATTAAAACATGAAAAAAGTGTTAAATGTCAGATACATGTAGGACCAGAAACGAATTTGAAAGGATTTAGAACCTGTGCCTTTATGAGGAGATACTGTAACAGTTCTTTACTCTTTAGTGTATTATATTTATCACTTGAGAGCTTCAAAACTTGACAGAACATTGCTTGGACCATTTATTACTTTCAGTGCGTACATATTTGCATCTGTGTTTGTTTACATAGCATGTATAATATACAAATGATTAAATGTTTTCGTCATAGTTGCTTAGTAATATACAGTCAAACCTGCTATAAAGGTCACCTATTTTCAACGAAAACCTGTCTTGACAGATCACTTCTCCTCCCGCTGTAGTAAAACCTGTCTTGGCAGATCACTTCTCCTCCCGCTGTAGTAGAACCTATGCATTTTGAACCACAAATAAAAGGTCAACTCTTCCAAGGGTGACCTTTTTATACAGGTTTGACTGTATCCGTATACGCTATCAAGTGTGTTTCTCAAATAAACGTCAACTAGTAATATACTGTCAAGGCCAATAGTTCGGGAACAGCCAAATATATGAAATGTTTGAAAGTTTTAAAAACAAAGGGAGTTAGACAAAATAGCCGAAATTTGATTAAGGCAGTTATAATACGCCCTCAGTATCATGTTAATTCTATAATATATAGGGGCCTCGGTGGCCGAGTGGTCTAAGTAGTTACTACTGTAATCACTAGCCAGTCAACACTGAGGTTGTGAGTTCGAACCCCGCTCGTGCGGGTTCACTCGACTCCAATCTTAATTGACTAGGATTGTCAGTTTTCCTATCGAAGGTCGGTGGTTTTCTCCGGGCGCTCCGGCTTCCTCCACCAATAAAAACTGGCCGCAACGAAATAGCCCAAAAGCGGTGCTTAAAAGTGGCGTTAAAACACCAAAAATCAAATCAAAAATCAAATCTATAATATATAAACTAAACATAAACAAATACATTAAAGAATTAAACAGTAAAATTCAATATGTTTTCCTGTATATGTTTCAACTTAGTGAATTGGAATCCACGAGGTATAGGACCGGCCACTCCCTCTACACGAGGTATAGGTCCGGCCACCCTCTCTACACGAGGTATAGGACCGGCCACCCCCTCTACACGAGGTATAGGACCGGCCACCCCCTCTACACGAGGTATAGGACCGGCCACCCCCTCTACACGAGGTATAGGACCGGCCACCCCCTTTACACGAGGTATAGGACCGGCCACCCCCTCTACACGAGGTATAGGACCGGCCACCCCCTCTAGCATTTTATAGCAGGGCATTTGGGCACTTTTGTGACAACAAAGGATCATTAGGTTATAAGTAGAATATGCATTTTATTTTCTGTTGCAGCAAAATAGTTAAAAAATAAAAATATAAATATTGATTTAACGAAAATGATGGAATTTTAGTTCCCGAAACTAAATTTCCAAAATGTCTAATGGTTGAAACACACAGTTCAATATTATAAAAGAATTTTCTAGTAAGAATGACGATTCTGTACATAATTTAGCCGTGATTAGTTAACGAAGCGAGGTGGCTTATGTTTTGCACGATATGTTTATACTATATTTCTGTGGTAAGATAAGAAACCAGAGCAGATTTGTATTGACTAGATGATTGATTTGAGAATTTGTTTGTAAGAATAGTGGTTTTGATAACGATTTATTCGGGATTTATTTGTGTAAAACAGAAATAACATGGGAATTTGTATATATTTATTTGATTCGATTCATCATTAGATTTGTCTAAATGTAATCACTGATGAATTTTTAACTCGTGGACAAATGCCGTGATCATTTTATCTTTATTTTGTTTTGAACATTTTTTTTTGGGGGGGAGGGGGGTGCCAAATGTTATATTGTTCTAGATAAGATATATTTCCTATAAGAAATCTGCGTTATCTCTAAGAATCAAAAGAACTGAATGAGAACAATTATTATTTATCCATGACAATATAGTAATGTCAGTAATGTACGTAGTCGGGAAGCTGAGAGAACACACTTGTCACATTTCAATTTTCAATGAATATTTTAACGAACGATCATTATCAACGTACATATATATATATATGGGGGTACACATGGATCTCCCTCTTTTAGTAGCTTTAAAGTCCTTTCAATTTTTAATGATTGCATAAATCTATTTTAACAGTGTTAGAAAATATAATTTTACTTTTTGTCTTTATTATTAATTTATTTTTAAAATTAAGTTTTACCATTTTAATTGCATTTGACATATTTTAACACTGTCGTGGCGTAAATATATATTAAACAACATAACCTGATGTACGAACTATTGTTAACCATTAATCGAAATGTGTATATAGTGGTGGACGAATCTCGGTGGTGGAACTACTTTCCTCCTTATATGGAGGTGTGCCTTGACTGGCAGACATTCGTTAACAGATGACAGATTATAGCAGTGGTTGTCTTCAGGAAGGATGTGTTGATTTTAGACCTTTGGCAGCCTTTGTTAAATTGATTCACAACTTTGCTAAACTCGGGACGATTGTAAAATTGACAATTCATGTTTATTGTTAAAGTTGGTTGACCTATGGAACTTTTATTTTATGTTGTTGGGTGACTGTCATATTAACTTTTACCTGAAACCGCCTTTTATCCATATTTGCATAGAATTGTTCCTGTAATAAAAAACTAATGACGGGTTACAATGCAATGAATTTCGCCGCCATCAGATAATATTGCCAAAACAATTTAATTCGTTGGCACAGAAATTTTGCAAACACGATGATTGTCTAAGGAGACTTTAGATTATTATATATAATAATTGAATTGCAGTAGACTATTATATATAATAATTGAATTGCAGATATCTTCTATATGCGATGTGTTGACACTCATAGTTGATTAGAATGTCACACTTGCTAGAAACTAATTAAATTTCCGTTTTTGATTGACATGAAACATTATTAAGTTAGACATCCATATTTCTCAACTTGTAAATTAAAAACATGAGAAATGTATGAATGAATGACTTTATTTCTCATAAAACTACAGTTACATAGTTATAGAAACCAACTCTAAACATAACTGTAAGGTTCAATTATTACATGTCGTCTTGAACGTGCATGAAATATTTGCCACTGGACGTTAAGCAATAATCATTTAATCATCAATTATTACATGTATGTGTAAAAAAATACAATGATATATTACCGCATTTGACAAGTTGAATAGTTGATCAAATGTTTGATATTAGGGTTTGACCATGTTTAACTCAATTATTTTGCAATTCATAATGTAACGGTACTCGTCACCAATGTCGTTTGAGTCACAAAGACGACAGACGTTATTTTGAGTGTTTCCGGATGGAACGGTGTTGATTTGTATGCATCGAAACGAAGCATTCTTAAATAGTGATGCATTTAAGGAAAAAATCTAGTCTGAACGCTTGCCATTAATTTGAAAATATATTGTAGGTGCTAGGAAGTCTGATTACAAAAAAATGTTAAAACGCCAAAAGAGCTTTACTAGCTTTACCATACCAAGAATATTATGGAGACGGCAACCCAACAACACAAAAAAGAAGGAAACATCAGAAATACATTTTAATAGAGATCCACATACTGTTTTAAAAAGTTAAAAGTATATGGCAATACAGTCAATCTGCCAATCTCTAAATTGCCTCAAATCAAGAAAAAATTGTGAATAAATTTTACAGAGACCTCAAATATCTGCCCTCAACACCAAATGTCCTACTTTAAAGGGAAAAACATCAAGATCTTAACAAAATCATTATATTTGTCTCTGACGTATATACAGATGATTTTAAATGTGATTTTTAATTCGTGTTTAAACTTCTATATAAAGTCATTAATCCCTTCTGAAAATATCAGAGCAATAAACCAAACGCACAGAGTTAAATTTGAGTTTTTTGGTTTTTTGCGACAACGTCAAGTGATTTTTTTTCTAAAGAACTATTTACGTAAATCCTGTTCTTACAAGCAATTAATGCTAAACAAACTGTTTCAAAGAACATTGGGTATGGGTTCTGCTCATTGTTGAAGGCCATACGGTGATATATAGTTGTTGATATCTATGTCATTTGGTCTCTGGTGGAGAGTTGTCTCATTGGCAATCATACCACACCTTCTTATTTTTATAATCATTGTTTGAATTGCCTACTCAATTAAGAAGGGGCTCAATCTTTATTTCAGATGAATATCGTTCCCATGAAAGTTCTTGCAATGTAAAATTGAGGATAAGAAACTTAAATGCACAATATTTTAGGTAATCACTGTGAAACTTCGGTATAACAAGTGCAGATAAAAATATTGACAATCATGTGCTAAATTTTAGTTGCAACCTACTGAAGTAGAATTAAAAAGTAATTATGTATTTAGATGCATATTCGTATGAGTCTTTTTATAAATAATCATATGATTACATAAATAAGAGTCCATTACAATTTCTGCTTAGTGAAAAAAAAACTGCTTGGTAGAATA